TCTGTCTGTCTGTCTGTCTTACACAAAAGAATAATCATTCCTTTGTTTCTGCTGCTCTCTTTGTCTCTAGTTGATGGGGTTTATCTACGCCTGCTATGTGGTCAAGCTCATTTCAGAAGAAGAGGATAGCTGTAAGTACACAGTCACACACAAACATGTACACACACACAACATTTGTCTATGTATTGTTGAACATTTGTATATATAATGTTCAACAAAGATTAATTAATGAAATGTGTTACTAATTGTTTGCTGAATATTTGTATACAAACTGTTGAACATTTGCGTAGTAATAAGTTGAGTGAGGAGTTCAAGTTCAACTAAATTATTTGGACGCAATTGGCAGAGTAAAATGCATAACAATGCAATGATATGTGATAATTCATTTTCCTAATTAAAATAGAGGAAGCGATTATATTTTAATTGGGAAAATGGAATTAGATGGCAATGCATGTACTCATAGAACTAACTCCAGTAAGTACTGTTTTCTGTTATACTGTTACACAACGAGGTCTTCTAACTCTGGCTGAGGTAACACTGAGTGTAACTTCTGTGGATTCCCTAACTCTCGATTCGCCATGATGGCGAAATGATGAGTTTATAAGCATTGGCTTCAACAAAGCCATTTGAAATGCTGTGGTGAGGCCTCTGTGTGTGTTTAATGTGGGGAGGTGCTTAAAAATGGACGAATTGAACAGACTTCTACAAATGAATTGTTCTCAGATCGGGGAAGTCGAAATAATTTTTCCTGTGCAAAGAAGATTTTTATTTTTAATTAAGTCAGTTGTGTTAGTGTGTGTAGCATTTTAATTGTTGGTTGTTGCTAGACCTTATAGTAGCAGTAGTTTTTAAATGTTGGCAGTTCATGATGTTTTTTTGTTAGTTTGGGTCCCAGGGAGGCACCGAATTTCGATTTTGGTTCTTGAGCGGAAAAGGCAAGGAACCTACCTAAGTCCGTATTCTTCAAACAGTGTGTTTTCACATTTGACAGTACAAGAGGACAAGCTTTAATGATGAATACTCACACTGTTTGACAAGTGTCTGTCTCAGGTAACATTGGCTGCGTGTGTCAATTTGGAATATATTTGGTAAAGTAGTTTTGGGTGGTTTAAGTCTACGTGGCTGTTGCTTTTGAATCGAACTGGTGAAGTAAATTAAATCTGTGTCTCAAATCGATGCCTTTCTCTCCATCCCTCTTTCCTCGCTTCATAAAGAAGCTGCACGTTTGAATGAAGCCACCTTGGACTGAGATGCCTTTACTGACCCTTAGACAGAATTTGCTTTTTGCAACCAGTAGCTCATTCATTCACAGTAGCATGGAGATAAAAACGAGAGAGAGTATGTGAAAGATGAGGAGAGCTAGGTAGATTCATGCTAGCTCAAAGTTGTCTTTCAGTCATACGTCCCTCCCACACACTAAACACTTTCAATCGCCACCACCAAGCAACAGTTATAGGAAAAATCAAAGGGTGAGGAGGGAAAGAATAACAAAAGATGTTCATTCATAATCATTTCTCTTTATTTAATCTTTTATCAAAACCTCAATTCATCAATACAACCATGTTGATTGGGAAGCGCGAACATTGACTACCATTTAGTGAGCAGTTTGACAGTCTGAATGAACTGCACTGGAAGTGTAATACCAGTAATAGACGAGCAAAATGAAGCAAATCAACATGTTAATTCTGTGATTGTTGGATTTTGAATGCTGTGTGTGTCTGCGAGCATCAACTCGAATGATCCCATCTACCTGGGGCCATCAGTTTAGTTATTCCATTAAAGTAGACAACGCCATTCTGCGGGAGGATCAATACCCAAGCATGTCTTATTCAACACTGAATTGAGGATGCTGTTTGCTAACACATAAATATTGATAGGTAATAAATGCAGGCTGGACCAGTGGAGATAGTTTAAAGCGCTGATAGTAGACAGGTTTTCCTGCTGCCTTTCCTGCCCAAAGCGGATTGGGGATTTATTTCCACCTGCTATAAAACTGTGGGTCAGCACCGCGTACAAGGCTAGTTTCTGTTTCTAAAGGTTCTTTGTGTGACAAAACAACCTCTGTGTTCAATGAGGTCACAGATAAATATTAAATCACCCGATTGTTAGTGTTTCTTTTCCAATTTTATAGAGTATAATTGAGTTTCAGGGGTTATTTTTGAAGGTTTTTTTTAACACTGTATATTAATAAGCTTTGTGATGACAGGATCCCTAAAATGCCACTTGTTCCATGTCTAAATAATTAATGTCTAACAGTTATTATTTGGCCTTTGCTGAACTGTTTTATTTTGGCCCTTGGCGCTCGATGCAGCACATTTCTGGTTGTTTTGCACCCTGAGAGAGAGTTTGTTGGAACTAAATAACAATTTCAGATGAGACAGAGCAAGTAAAATGCAGCTTACGACATTTACTTGTGAAATCATTCTTATCTCAACTGTTGTAATCTTAGGCTTAAAAATATAACCTTTATCAGCAAACCATCTCTCCTTCCATTGTGTAAGCAGTGTATGCTGTTAGAAGTGTTTTGGGGAGCTGGAGCCGAGCATGCATTGGAGCAAGAGAAAGGTGAACGCACCGGACAGGTCTATCACAGGGCTAACACATTTCAGCCCACTATTAAAGCCTAATAAATATGCACGCAACAGCAACATGCATAATTTTCCTGTGACAAAAAGATCATTTTCTACAGAATAATTTTGGGATTCCTTGTAATCTTCATGTTGTCGAGCCTTAACTCCTGAATGTGGCTGTGGAAAGCGCTGCGCGATAATGCAGTCTGGGAGACTAAACAATAATCAGGGAGCTTTGTTGGGAAATGTGCCTTGGGTGAAGAAGCTAATACTCACTGAGGACCTATGAAGATTTGGAGTTGCTGAGAAAGCTAATTACTCTGATAATTATTCTGTGCATGAGTGAGTGAGTATGCGTGTGTGTTTAAGTGTGTGTGTGTGTGGTTGTGTCTGTGTGTGGGAGATTAATCATTATAGTTGGTCTTATCTGTCTCACAGCTACTCGAATGTGTCAGACAGATTCTTATCAAGCACATGAACAACACACAGACAGATACACACACAAATCCTTAAACAACAGCTGCAATCTTTGTATGATCAGTCTTTAGGACACTTAATAGTCAATAGTGAACATTCACAACTGGTAAACAACCAAAAAAACACAATCATTTCAAATATTATAGCATTAAAAAAACAGGAAATCTGTTTGCTGCTGGTGTCTTGTAAATTTTTAATGGATTATACTGTAGTTTTTTGGCTTCTGGAGAGAATCACTCATGTTCCTATGCGCTCATTGGACAAACCTGGGCCTTATGAATAACATATCAGAATTTTGAAATTGGGCCGCTACAGCTTGATAGGCAGCCCACTGACAAGGTTAGGGGCTCCATTTCCTCTCGTGTTCAAAGGGTCGAGCATGGCAGAAACTCTGCTGAGACTATTTGACTGCAGCATGAATCAGCAGGAAACCCTTACCATTCACACCAGGCCATTCTTCCATGAAAGGATCCACACAAAGAAGTAGTACATCAAGCACCGGCAACCGCTCAGCATTTTCTAACAGAACGACCATAATGAGCCGAATGATCATGAAATATCAGAGTATTGCAGAGGTTCGGGAAAGCTGCTGATAGACAAAGGAGATCATCTGTTGTCCCGTTGTGTGGCTGAATCAAAAATTTCACATGAATGCATTAAGAGGATTAAGGGAGAAGTGTGAAAACTCACAGCTACGGTGTGGTGACTTATAATGAATTTTTACCTAACTTAAACAGAATTAAAATTAGAAGAATCTCATGTGAGGAGAGGCACCTCGACCCAAAGACTGGAATGGCTGTTAATAACTACAAAACTGTGATAAAATAACATTTTCACTTCAGTATTACCAACACCGTTATTCCTGACCCAGCACTCAGTCTAAGGATTCCTACTTTTTAAATCAATTAATGTTGTAGTTATGAATTTTGTTAAAGGTCCAGTGTGTAACATTTAGGAGGCTGTATTGGCAAAAATGGAATATAATAGTTATAGGTATGTTCACTTTACTCTGAGATGTAAGGATATGAATTCATAACAGCCCCATGCATATTCGTTCATTGTGTTATTTATTAAATATTTTTTGATGGGCATACACAGACTAATCAGTGAAATCAGTGTTGTTTGTTGGAAATCAATTCGCCTGACTGTGTTTGGTGCTGGCTTTCACGTGATGTTTGGACTTACATCCCTGCTTATTGCGGGCTCAAGGTATACTTATAGCTTCTTTCATCTCTGCAGTGACAGCCAAATTCCACATTGTACTTGATGTTACGAAATCATACTGAATAAATAAGAAAGTATGCTGCTGATCAAGGCAAGGAAGTACCCTTTTATGAGCTCTACAACATCAAAGTAAAAAAATATCATGGCTTCCTCCCTTCAAAAGTCCAGGCTCTCTGCCTCAGTCTGAGGAAAGCAACCACCTGCTGGCAGCTCCTCAGCCTGGGAATCTGTGGAGATATCCTAGATAATTTAGAAGTTAAGAGTACACTAAAGGCATAAATATATCGCTGCATAAGTCTTAGTCTTGATCCTAAAAATAGAATTAGATTTGCATCACAGAATTTTTATACAACCTGATTAGCTCTAAGAACAGCAGCAATAGAGGTGGTGGTTCTGGTACAAAATGTACTGTTGAGACCTCTGTAGGTGTAGGAGGCCTAATGCAATGAATCATCTGTGGTGGGAGGTTCCCAGTTGATAACCACAGCATACGCTTTCTCTAATTGACGTTGTTTTTGTGCAGTTGATTTTATAGGAGGGTTCGACTCGTACGGTTACCAGGGGCCTCAGAAGACCTCCCACCTTCAACTACAGCCCATGTACATGTAAGTATACTTACACTCTGTCTAGATATCTATCTACAAATGCCTTGTTGAAACACTCTGATTATTTTTTTTATCACATGCCCGCAACATTAGTCCTAAATATGAGGATAAACCAGCATATATTGTGCTAAATGGTGTTTTCGTTTGCCTTGAATCTGCTTGAAACACCTAGGAAATACAGTCTAGATCCTCAGGCCAACCCTATCACCAACAGCATACCGTGTTTAGGGAATCATTTTCATCTGTGTTAGATATCTTGAGTTCTGCAGCAAGGATGATATAAGCACATTCTCGCTGTATCAGCATAAGGGCTTATCATTTATCAGCCCAAGGTCTCATCAGTTGTCACTGTTGTAGGGCTTTCATCACTCCCCTTACACGTGGCAAATAAAGGTGGGGTGTGTGATGAAAGCCGCTGTATCCTTGATAACATTCTTGCCGAAGCTGTGTTTCATAATTAGATATTTTACCCACATATGACTGAAAAAAGCATCCTCTTGAAAATTATTTTTGTGTTATGAAATAGCTTTTGTTGTGTCAGAAGCTTTTATTTCATATCTCTGCAGGCTGGATTCTAGTTTATATGCTGATTTCCTGAGACTGAAACCATAGATTCCAGTTTCATGGAGACCATCAGCTATTCTTAGGCTGGAGAGCCAATAGGATAACACAAAATGAGTCTGAGTCCAGGCTTAGACAGCCCTGCATCAATCTCACCGTCTCACTTTGTCCTGTGGAAAGCGTCAAAGCAGTACAGCAAAAGCTACACCACAGTAACAAACAACAATACGCAATAATGGTGATTCCACTGATGTGCGGCAGACAGGTGATCAATAACTGTTTTTATTAGAGAACAGAGCTGGAGCGACTTCGAGAGAGATACAAATGGACAGAGAGAGAGATGGAGAAATAGAAATTGAGATCAAGATGGGCAAGAGACTAGTAGATAGAGAGAGAGAGAGAGAAGAGAGAGAGAAAGAGTTCCCCTCTCTTTCTCTTCCCAAAAGAAACACAGTGATGGATGAAACCAAGGACTAAACAAAGAAGAAAGGCAATAAAGGACCATTCTGTAGTTTTATATGTCCCCTGTGGAAGTCATAACACAGATCATAAATCATCGACCCCCAAGATAATGGCCGCAAACACAAACACACACTCTCACACAAGAGCCGGAGCATGAATACACATATCTATGCACACACAGATGCAGGTACTTAGACATAGAAGAGCACACACACTCAAACACTGCACACTGTACACACAAACACCTAGACGGTAAAGCTGCTGATAGACATCTTGTGCTTGTACATTAATGTACACACACATATAGACACACACACACATATATGCACACTTGCATAAACATCATCAATATGCTATCATTGTTCCCCAGCTGTTGTCCCTTCACTTTGGTGTTTATTGGCTCTGGCCAGAGGGACCAATAAAAAAGCATCAGCTGTACCGTCCCAATGGAAATCTCTCCCCGTACCTTGCAGGACACACACTCAACCACCCACACAGACACACACAAAAATAACAACAACAATTACCGCCTCCAGAATTTTTTAGAAATGTCTTTGTAAACAAAAGAAAAACTCAGCTCCACTCGTTGTTGACCTCCAAAAGCACGTCTTTCTCCATGTGCATTCAAATGAGAGTTTAGCATAATCCCAAACGCATCAACCTAAAAATAAAAAAATAACAACACAGACAAAATATCAGGTTCTGATGTTTTATACCTGCATGTGTTGTTAAACCTCACAATTGCGTTCTTGGATGCACTTGACTGGTTTTGTTCAGAGCTGAAAACTAATGATATACTATCTTTAGCATTTGGATAAAATGCCAAGCTATTGTACTGTCAACACAGCATTGCCATTTACACTAAAAGTTAGGAACCAAGCATTATTTTTTTCTTGCTTTTAGTGTTTTGTTTCTTTTTGGGGTTTTTTGTTTTTGTTTTTAATATTTTGGGCTAGTATCCGAGCCAATATACCCATTGGTTAAGTGTTAAGCAGTCTGTTGAGTATTATCATCTTTTATAAATACACACAGCAAGTGCCTCTGGTGTCCTCATCAAGCAACATTATGTGAATCATTTTATCAAGGACGATACTGAGCAAATGCACGGCTAAGCATTTCACCATAAACCTCTTAATCTTTACTGTTCTCAGTTAATGCCTTAAATTTCTCAAGTAGCTTTAAAGTTACATAAAACATTTAGTTTCACAGTGTACTGTAAGTTCTTTATGTGTTTTTTCTGAGGCAATACTGCTGCACAACATGCCTTCTATTCATGACTTAGCAGTGGCAGTTTGAGAGGTTCACATAAACATTTACTTTTAAATCTTTACTAAAGCAATAAAATGGATTGAGTCGCTGTTTTGTATAACCCTCTTCTCTCTTCTCTTCTCTCCATACAGGTCAAAGTAAACCCAGGAACGCTGCCTTACCAATCACCACTGCTTAATATCCTGCTTTTACTACTCCAACTGTCTTTTATTAAACAACAACCAAGACACAAACAAGATACAGAGGACACTAAGATATTCTGTGTTTCAACCTACAACCCCCCTCCCCCCCCCCCCCAATCCCAGTACTTGGTCAGATTGTTTCCCCGGTCTGCCTGTATGTTGTATTTAATGATGAAACACTGGTCTCGTGTGGTAGAACACTGTAACTGCAGGACATTTGTGCCACACCATTACAAGTAGCTTCTGGTAACAGCTGCATTTCTTTGTCTCTGAGGGACGCAACCAGGAGCCAATGACTTGCATCCTCTTGTGCTGTTGGGTATCCGCATTGTAAAAGAAACCAAAGAGGCCACGACTCATTGGTGAACTACTGGCGCATTTCTTCAGACTTCCAGGGAGAACTCGTGAAGTTCTGCTATCAGAGATGTTTAATATGGAGCCCTGTTTCTTCAAGCTACTGCAGAAATCAGGTGCTGTCTCAAGTGTCGTGGTATCTAAAAGCTCTCAAGTGCAGATATGCCTGACCAAAGAGTTTTAAAAAACCCGGAGACACGTTGTCATGTAAACAAAAGAGCCCATTTAACCGTCACTGGAACTTTTTGCTCTTTGTGCCTAACAGATTAGACACCGGACTTCCAACCAAGCATCTACTTACCGATGTAGGAATGTCATACATCTTCTTTTTTTTTAGATTACCTTTTGGTGCATTTGGGTTCTTGTTGCAAAAAGCGACAAAGCATGGAAGTCAGTGGCTGGACTCAAGCATGAGTACTAAGCTACACATTTTATTCTGTTGTTTCATCAAATACGTTAAATGTTAAATAACAGTGTGATGTGTAGATTTGCATATACTTTCATTTCACATGTGCATGTGTACAGGAAACAGACACATTCACACACAGGCATTAAGTAATGCATATCTGAATTCACACACACACATACACCACACACACATTACAGATGTAATACCATTTAACTTTTTTACTACTAATGTGAATCTTAATGTTTACAATAGAAAATCAGTCTGCCGGACAGAATGGCCGAACACCTGACAGACAGATGCAACAGGTAGATAGACAGGAGACCTTTTAGCTGCAGCATCTCAACTGCTATGGGATGTTCTCTGCCATATTAATATAGATGGGATAGTTTTTTTCAGATGTGTCTTTTGGTCTTCTCCTGTCTAAATATGTTGTCTTCCATCCAAGACAGAAAAGTAGAGGTAGATAGAGACAGAGCATGACAAAGAAGACTACCACTGAAGAGGGATGGAGGTCAGTCAACAGTTTCCCTTCCACCTCAGTCCTTTTGTAGCTCTCAAAGCCAAGCTTCTGTTGTCACTCGCCTGTCCCATTCAGCAGGAAGGTGTTTCCCTTTTTCTCAATTATAAATAAAAAAGCTGGAAGCCAGATCAGACCAAACTGCAGCATCCACCTCTTCCCAATAGATCAAGAGCAGCCAAAATCTTCCACAGGGGACGCTCACGTAAAGAGAAAAGATATACCCTTTACAGAAATGACAATCACAGTCAGAGTGGCCTGAATCTCATCATTATTGATTGTTTTAATTGGTATATTGCATTCCTAAACTGCTCGTGGATGACAACTATTGGTGAAAGAAAGGGATATGAAAAGACAGAGGCTGAATCTTCAATGACACTGTACATGTTCACCCTCGCCTGCAGGCTAACAAGGATAAACATTATACGAGAAAGATGCCAGAGACAGAGCAGCCTCCACTCCCACCCCCAACCCTTCACCTCACTACTCGAATTTTAATGTTGAAAGTGCCAACAATATCACCACATGGATATCTGTAGAGCCTGGTTTCTGACAACCACAGACTGGGACCAAAAATAATGGGTCTCAGGTCCACTTTTCTTTGGTTCACGTGTAAGAAAAAATAGCATAGTATATTACAAATAAAAAAAAAAACTAACATTTGCATCCCAGGCGGCAGGTTTTCTCTTTTATTCTGCTTAGAAAAATCAACCGATTCTATCTGGAAATGTGACTAAACATGTTGCAGTTGTGTTGCAATCACTGGACCAAATGTTTGAGGCCTTCTCTGTCGACCAAGGAACATTTCTAGGTGCAAACGCTGGCTTCTCTTGACATAAGGATGGACTAACAGACTATTCCCTCACTAAAAACTGATCTCAAAGTCCACCTTCCTCCCCCCATCTGCCAGTTATCTTCAGCAGTTCATGTTTTGTAACCAAACTCTGTGGGTTACATTCAGAGTTGCTGCCCCGTGAGGCTCCACTGACAGTCACTCTGGAGGACAGAAACAACATTTTGTGTGTTTGCATGAGTTGTTTCCAAACTGTTGCGTATTTAATCTCATGCTGCGTGTGACTAACTAGCTACTTAAAATGGGAACTGTTTGGTTTGTTGAATGCTCCTCAACTCTCTTCAAAGAGTCCTAAATGTGAACTTTGTGATTTTTCTATAAATAACACAGTCTGAAATGTCTACAGAGTAAAGGAGAAAAATAGCTACTACAATGTAAAACGATGAAATGTAACTTTGAACTTCTAGACGTTTTTTAATCACATGTGGCCGTGTTTACTGTTTTTTCTAGTTGACTACTAATGTATGATGTTGTGTACAAGTGGGACTATTATGTTTTATTTCTTCTAATTGTACAGTGTATTTGAAATGAGAAAATAAGAGGAGAATGGGAGGAATAGTTGCACTATAATCTGTAATTCTTTCATTAACCATTCTGTCAGGGCTGAAATTTCACTTTCACTTCAGCACATAATTAACTTTACAATGTTAATTTATGTTTGAATTATCAACCAACACCACACATTCCTTTTTAATAAATAAAATTACTGCTGATAAAGTGCACAGCTAATGCTGTGAAAAGGGTCACGTAATCCATTATTTAGAAGCTTAATTGAAAAAGATAGTTGGTCATGCCATTAGCTAATTACACTATTTGAACTGAAAGTGAATTTATTTATCTTTAATGGAGTTGATCAATTCAATAATACCTGATGAACCTAACCACCAATCCGGCAGATATAACAACAGACTGAAGCAATTATTCACTAAATCAGAAAGGATTTCAGATATATAATGTGACTCAAGTGTGTGTGTGTGTGTGTGTGCGCGCGCGCACGTGTGTGTTAGACTTTGTACTGCAGTACATTGTACTTTTCTGTGTCATGGTGAACTGAACGACACTTAACCCAGAACCTGCAAAGCCACAACTTCAACATAAACTAAAATGGTGGAAATTGAAGAACTCGTAAGAGATTTTTAACAAACAGCAATAACAACAGTAATAATGTATTTTAAAGTAATAATAAAAACATAATCTACATAGTTCTTGATTTATCTTAACAGTCACCTGATCACATTTTGACTTTGGACCAGTCAATAGAGCTTTTGTCTGTAGATCATCTGTACAGAGAGAGTTAAACATGTATAGATGCCAAGACATTAATTTTGTTGAATGGTGTCAATAAACATTGAGTCGAACCATTGTCTCGTAATCTGTCTTAAAATATAACTACTAATTTCTGAGTTTTACAGCTGTGATAAGACCGTACAGTCATAGTTATTACTATAATATGGTGCTCAGTAAATGTAATAACAGTGAAAGACATATACCCTGTGTTTGGCCAAATTGTCACTAAATGCAAAAGAAATGTTGCATTTGATGAGCAAAAGGCTTGAAAACTTGATTTAAAATCTTAATTGTTTCTCTACAATCTTAAATTTTTATGACTAAGTAACAATCAGTTAAAGTTATATTTATTTCTCGACAGTGGCCTGGAAATATAAGCAAACAACCCAGTTTTCATTACATTTTTATTCAAATATTGCTACATCCTGACATGACATCACTTCTTGCCATCTGAGCCAAATCCATTCAACATAGTAAGAACAGCAGACAGAAATATCGGAACTGGAATAACTATAATAATGTGCTTGTACAATTAGTTTAATAAAGAAACAGCTGCAAAGGACAAAAATTACTATGTCGATAATTATATTACACGATGAAGGAACATCATGCAAAAGAAAACTGAGGGACCCAGGATAGAACCCTGAGGGACTCCACAGCTCAACTCCGCGTTTATATGTACTGTTGGCAGAAAACAACTGCTTACTGCAGAAAATAAACAAAACTATCTTTAGTTTCTACAAAATGTCCAATGCTCTAAACTTTAGTTCCTTTAAATTAACCTTAAATGTTCAGTTATAATAAATTAATGTGAATTGGGCCGTCGCAGCAGAGACTGTTATGTTAGAGGAGTATTTAGAGAATGTAGTAACACATAATACATTACTCACTGTCAGTACACAGGAACATACTGCCGATGAAAACAGTAATGTCCAAACTTTCTCTGTGGCTCTGGGTTAATTTGTTAATGTTCACCACTGACTAGAACCATCTATGTTGGTTTAACTCCTTCTCTTTTCATGATGGTTTTCCCACAGGTGATCGACTGTACATAAACTAGACAGTTGGGAATAAAGTAGACAGTGGAGAAGGAAAGTCTATATTGTGTCCTCTGTTCTCTGACACCTATTTTCTGTGACCTCAAATTATTTATTCTCAGTGTGAGTTATATTTTGGGGGGTCTCTTTCTTGTCCGGCCAAGAGAAAATCCAGCTAAACCTGTTGAAAAAGTATCCTACAAGACAGCTGCGGGCAACAGTCAAAAACCCAGTTTCTCTTTCCCTTCAGTGAATACATCCTGACCAGTCATAAAGTACATCCGTATCTCCTTAACTTAACACACAGCCACACAGTCATTTCCAGGACGCACTACTGTTCCTTTGCTGAGAAAATATACCGGTAATCAGCAGGAAGAATAGAGTGGGTGGCATTCTTACATAATCTAGTGCTCAAAGGTAAATTCAGTGTTTAAATCCCTGAGAAGAATGGTGTTAAAGTAAAACATGAAACATCCATCCAATTAAGACTAAACACCTCTTGAGTGAGAATGAAAAGCCCAATTTATGCAGATGCATTAGACTGAGTTTAAGATGGAGTAAATGCTCAAGGTTGGAAGTACAGAGCGTCCCCACTTTTTGACCTGTTTAATGGAACAGCACACTCC